CCCCAAAACCCCAAAACCCCATGCAAATAAAATTAATTCAATAATCTGATTTATATATTTTTAAATCATTTATAATTCGATAATTCTCAAAAGCAGTTTTGATATTAGGTTCATTCAAGCAACTCAATCAATTTGCAATTAGTAGACTAGTCTCCATATTATTAGAAAAAGTAAAAGTACAGAAATTTCGACTTATCTAATACTATTAAGAAGCTTTTCTAGTACAATTTATTGATTAAACTAAGTCTACTTATTTGATTATTGTACTTGTTGTAACTAGCTATGTCTTAATTCAAAACTAATAAGTATTCCTACTAATCTTTTCCAAAATCTCTTTTCAATTACTATTAAATCACCTAATTTATTTCAGCTGATTTCTTTGGATACAAGTTCTAAATTAGTCTCATCCTTAACTTAAAAATATTAAATACTAAGGATGCCTTGTTATCAGAAAGGAATGTAAAATAATCGTTTTAATGATTGTATCTCTTACCAAAATTTAGTATCCCAGTGAATTTAGCCTATGTTTAGAGATTATCAAGAGATTGTACCAAAATAACTCTAATCCTTTTAACTGAGAGGGTACTCTGCGTTTTATGATGCTTTATCTTATAAAGAATTATACCTTGACTATTTAACAGTAGATATTGATGCTTTTGATAGAGTTTCTTAACTTAAATAAATTCAAGAGGTTCATAAGAACTAGCTATCTCAACAAATTCTCGATCTATTATCTTTACTATCTTTATATATTATTTCGTCAAGATAAGAAATAATCCAAGAATTTCATTGAAAATCTCTATCCCAACAACAGACTCATCAAGTAAAGCTTAACAAACAAGATTTATCTTATGCTTCTTTGGTTCTATTTCAAACATATATAATCCTTTCTAGCCTCCAACAAGAAACAAATTCACACCCTTTGGCCAATTTTAATCAATTAATAATTACTGTCTCGAATTTATTGGCTTTATCAAAGTCTTGACACAAAATAATTGCTTGAGCTCAAAGATCCAATTAAGTTTTTAAACAGTCATTTATCTTGCAATCTCACTTACTATTGCTATGGATGTACTCTTAAAAGAAACTAGGTAGAACTTTTAAACATCATAGCCTTTCTCAATGTGATTATTTTGAAGTTTATCTACCTACATAAACTCCTCGAAATGTAGATACTGCTACTTTTCTCGACATTATACAAAACCTTTGGTCGAATGTATTTTGATGAGATTCTCAGTAAATTCTCTGATGGTAGATTTCTGCTCATTTTAGAGTTGTCTTATTCTCTTATTTTCTTTGTAAGTTTAGATTTCAATCTCATTAATACCTCTCCATGAGAAAAAGGAATTCATTATATTTTTAATTTATACTTTCCCAATATCAATGTGACTCATTTCCTTACGGGGTTTTGGGGTTTTGGGG